TTTGAAAAATCTTACTATATGAATCAAAAGGTTGCGTCCGTTTCCTTCCTATTTGCGTTGCTATTTTGCAATTATTCGCGTCGCATTTTTCGTCCTTTTTCTCCCTGCCCGAAATTATTTTTTTTGCTCTGGGGTTTTTGCCTTTTTTCTTGGGGGATTCTGTTGTTTCATTTTTGATGCGCATGCTGTTTTTGTAATGGGTATTGTTGCATTTCGGTTCTGTACTAATAAACAGTAACGTTATAAATTCACTTTACTTTATGCTACCCTTCAGTTTTTAAATCCTGTTTAGATAACTGGTTTAACATTGTAGAGAGACTGGTTTTACTAACATTTGTGTCACGATCGACGTAGTATCAATCCGATCCGTACTCTTCTCAAGAGTATTAATCTATTGTTGGATACTACGTGTTCTTGTTACGTTGTAAGCGCTTTTGGGGAAACCCTTTTAACCTTTCGTGCTATTCGGCCATTCTTAAGCAGAATCATCCTCGTTGATAAGGTTAAAGCGCATCGCACCCCAAGCTAAAACAAGCAAGACTACTTTATCCATAGTGATAAAAAATGAATTGTAAGTCGTTAACAATCATTAAATCTGTGTTGAATATTTGAAAAATTCAATAAAAATCTAGAAAAATTCAACAAAACTCTTGACGATTCTCATTCTAACTAAAAATTCACTAGGCTTTTCCTAAAAAAGCTATTTTCTCGCCATAAACATTGGCGCAATGTTTGATAGCTAGGGGAAAGACAGGGGAATTGAAAAAATAGAGAAAAATGGAAAAAAAACGAATGTAAAATTGATTAGAATGAAACAAAAAGTTCAATGAAACAAAAAGATAGAAAGAAAATGAAAGAGAAAGCTGAAAAGAAACTGTTGAAAGAAATTGTTGAAAGAAACTGTTGAAAGAAGCGTTATGAAGTAAGTACAATATCAAAATTTTCGAAAACAAATAAAAGAAGTAGAATTATAATAGAATAAATAGAAAACAAATAGAATAACTAGAAAACAAATAGAATAAATAGAAAACAAATAGAATAAATAGACTTAATGCATGTCAAAAAGCACTTTCATTCTTCTAATGCTCTTTGAGAAATGGGTTTAGAAAAGGAAATGCTTTTTTGGGGGAAAAGAGGGTTCAGGACAGCTGTGTGAGGGGAGAAAACCGCTCGATAGGCCCCTCTTCTAGTCGGGAAAAGGAAAGGGGAGGGCCGCACGTGGAGGAAAAAATAGGGAAGCTGGGAAGAGAAGAGAAAAAAGGGAAAAGATTGAGAAGGTAATGGAAAAGAGATTGCGGAGAAGATTGACTCATCCATGGGAATCGGGATAAGGAACAAGAGACTTTGAGTGACGCAATTAGTGTCTGATGAACTGTTGGACTTGGGATTTGTTGTAGAATCGTGTTAGTTCATTGCCACTGAATAATACCAACCCTCAATAGATGAAGAGCCGCTGGATGCAACTATAAATAAGTAAAATAAGTCTGGGCTTAAATTCTAAACTGAATTTAAGGGTTTTGTCAATTAATTTAAAGCTAATGAAAAGCGGCTGAGAGTTTGATTTGCATTCATCACAACACATTTATTTAATCAAGTGACAACAAAAGGTGAAAACATCAAATCTTCTAAAGCAAATACTAGCAATAAATGCCCAATGAAAAGTCTATTTTTTAAAATTCAATGAAATTATCTTTCTTGGTTCAATCTCCATCAAAAGCAATGCCATTTTTCTTTGGATAAGGCTCAATCTCGTTGACGGAGATCTCTTGTAAAGTGAGATTTGAATGAATCCTGAAATTCATATATCATAGATCAAGCCATATCTGTCCTCAAACCTTAAGGGTATCCAATGCGGTAAATGGAATTCACTTGGTCGAAAATCTGGCACCAGATTGCCGCTCGATTTAGCGAAGGGCTAAATTTTTGGGGACATGTGAATAATGCTTTACTGGTTACAGCGCGCTTTCAAAAACTTGCTAGCTTCCAAAAATTACCGTAATCTTATCTGAGTTATGCAATCTACCGTATAGCATTCCACTCTCTAATAGTATTGCGGACTCGGAGGGAATTGAAAAAGTAGTATTGACAAAATCTAAATCTACTTAAATTGAGCATTTAAGTTTTTGTTGTTTGTAGTTTTGAATCATTTTAAGTTGAAATAACACTCTTCTACTATTTTTTGTTGTTCTTTAATAAGTTTTATGCGTTTCTTTTGCACAATAGACATGGAGCCACGAGGCGAGTCACGAGCCACGAGTCGAGTCTTCCAAATTACTTGAACTCATTACCAACGACCATCACCCGATCATCGCGTGAATTGGGAGAAGAGTTAGGGGTTGATCATACTATAGTGCTCATGCACCTTCATACCCTTGGATATAAATCAAAACTTGAGGCTTGGGTAGCATCACCTCAATAACCCCCAGAAGTGGCAGCGCGCCTCGATCAGTACCGTCCATCACTCACAATACAAAAGGAATCTTTTCTTTCTCGAATTGTGATAGGAGATGAGAAATGGGTTTTATCTGTGAACTTTCAGAGGAAGTGGCAATGAGTGGGGCCAGGCGAGAAACCCGAAAGTGACCCTAAGCCCGATTTGCACCAGAAGAAGTTTATGCTCTGCGTTTTCTGGGATATGAAAGGAGTGGTGTACTGGGAGTTGCTGGATAGCAAGACGACCGTTAATGCAATCAAATACAATGAACAGTTGGGAAAGGTGAATGAATCCCTGAAGAAGAATAGGCCCTCCAAGTCAAAGATCGTTCTCATCCACGACAACGCGCGCCCTCATGTTGCAAAAGTGACTCGCTCACAAATAAATAGCCTTGTTTGGGAACTTTTGGCGGATCCCGCATACAGTCCGGACCTCGTCCCTTTTGATTACTATTTATGCCGGATCATGAGTAATGAGCTTGCCGGAGGACACTTCGATTCGGAAGAAGCAATCAAAAATTGGCTCGAAAACTAGTATTTTGGTATTTTGATATCTGTCGATATATCTCATGAACCCTCATAAAACAAACTTTTTAACAGCAACAGTTCAAGCTTACGGTATTTTGTTGACAAGTTTTAGAAAACGCATCAGTCGGCCTCAGTCTAAATAAAATCTAAATGCCAACCTCCGAGTAAAACACTCGAGCTTTGCCTTCTTTAGCCATGAAACCCATAAACCAAGCAAAAGTCGATGCTGGAGCTAAACATGAATTTTCTCATCAAAACCCAGATATTCCACTTTTTTGGCTTAATCCTGTATTCAGCTTTTGATGTCCATTTCTCCCTTACCAGTAATTATTAAATTGTCACAATATTGTCGCGAAATGATGATCGTTGATAAAGGGGTTACATTGGTTGCCATCAAATAATTGACGTCTCCACTTTCTGCGCTCAACATTTGATTTCTAGAATCGAAATTTCAGTTTTCTATTTGAAATTACCCGATAAATACATCGGAAAACGTTTTATTCATCCATCTGAGATCATTTGAGAATAGAATTACTGTCGATTGGTTGCTGCTCTGATTCAGAAGGTCTGAATGAGTCAAATGGCTATCTTGCAGTTAAATTTTCTGAATAAGTCTCAAAAAAACTCGAAAACTTACATTTTTCAAGTATAAACTTTGTGGCATATCTAGTGAAATTTGCTTGAGAAGCCATTGGTCGGCGAGCGTAGCGGAAATCACCGCGTCGAGCGTGAACGCAAAGTCTAGACATTGGCTTTTAAAAGAGGATCTAGGAAATGCATGGTTTATGGTTTATTCAGTCAGTTACGCATTCTTACTCCCTACTCAAATAAATTGCAAACTCTTACACTTTTCCTTTGATCTTCTCAGGAGGAAAACTCTTTTTCTTCTCATCCATTGCCATCGTTGTCGGTTTTGTCCATTCCAAGAACAAATCTCTTAGATGAGATGAGTAGAGATGACTCTATAACCGTGAAGATCTTCCGTTTTTATTTGACTAACTTGAAAATACATTCCATTTCCAATCACGTATTGATCATCTAGCTTCATCAGTTCATTCAACGATGAGAATCGACAACAACCATTTGTGTGCAGATTGATGCTTTTAGCTTTTGGCTAAATCATGTAAGGATGAGGCTAATGATAGATTGTGTAAATAAAAGTTTGGAACTAACTAGCTTTATGACAAATTTGAGTCGATCGATCAACTCTGGAAAGTATTCTTTGATGTCCAAGAGTCTCGTCATAACGGTTCGATTGTCGATGAGAACAAGTGGGGTGCTGCAATTTTCAAGCCAATCCTATACCGTATTCTCTCAAATAGTAGTGCACCCTGAGCGTTTCCTAAATTACTCGAAATCTCGAGAACCGCTTATCAGAATCTATCGATGTGGGGTCGGAAAATGTGGCTGACGATGAGATCTAGTGGGGGATTAGAGTGTTGAGCTTCTGCAAAAGCTTGGAAACCGTAAAATAGTCACCAACTCGGCTCGGCGGGGTGCACTTCTATTATAGAGAATACGATATTTAGTCGTTTTGTTGTGCTTAGAATATTATCAGGACCAGAAGGACTAACTTGAAAAAACCTAGATTTGAATTTAGGCCTGATCTAGCCTTGCTCTATGGGTATCTTTCTAACTTACTTAGAACCTGCTTGCTTAACACATTGACGACCGTGCATCTTTTGCCAAACGGCCGATTTGGATCAGGGATCAAAACGAATGAAAAAAAACTCCATATAGTTGATTTTTACAGTTTTATTAGGTTGAGGAAAAAGTGATGTCGGTTTTTGTCACAAAATTGTTTATTGCTAAAAACAGACAAACGCAGATCAATCAATGAGATATTCTCGATTATTATTGATGACTTGTTCCCATCTTTGTCGCAAGTCCCTGATCGGATCCTCAAAAAAATGGGGAGTTTTCGAGCCAAAATAAGTGTCGACTGCTTTTTTGATCTGTGCATGATTCTCAAACTTTTCGCCCATAAGAAAACTCTTCAACGACAAAAACAAAAAATAATCTGATGGGCCCAGGTCCGGCTTATAAGTCGCTTGCGGCAGAAGTTTCCAACCAAGGTCTTCGATTTTTTGGTTAGTGATTTTTTGCAAACGTGAGGTTTTGCATTATCATGCAAAAATAGCACTTTTGATGTTTCAACGCCCAATTTCTTTAAAGCCTCGTTACCTGAATGGTTTTGTTTTGTAAAAGATTTTTGTGTGATGCTGAAAATAAAAACGTTTCACAACAAATAAACGTTTTGCAACG